AAAGAGGAAGGATCAGCAGTTGGAAGATATGGCCTTGTTGACAGAAATGATGCTGGAGTTCTCATGACAGAATTTTGCAAGACCAATGACTTCATAATAGCAAATGCCATTTTTAAACGACATAAATGACAATTATACATGCAGACCTCACCAAATGGAATACCCAGAAATCAAATTTTTAACATCTGGGAGAAACATACGGTGGAAAAGGTCCACATTAATAATCAAAACAAGGTCAGAGGCAGACTGTGGAACAGACCATCAATTGCTCATATGTGAGTTCAGGCTGAAGCTGGAGACAATTAAAACAAGTCCACAAGAATCAAAATATGACCTTGAACATATCCCACCTGAATTTAGAGATCATCCAAAGAGCAGACTTGATGAATTTACTTATGACTTCACAGAAAATGACTGGAGACCAGAAGAGTTGTGGGATGACATCAAGAACATCATACAGGAAAAAAGCAAAAGGTCATTAAGAAGACAAAAAAGAAGGAAAATACCAGAATGGATGTCAGAAGAGACTCTAAAACTTGTTCTCCAGGGCAGAAATGCTAAAGCAAATGGAAGAAATGAGGAGGTAAAAGAGTTGAAGAGAAAATTTCAAAGGGTAGCTCAAGAAGACAAAGTCAAGTATCATAATGAAATTTGCAAGACGTGGACCTGGAGTTTTTAAAAAACTAAAAGGGAAGAACACGCTCAATATTTCTCAAGCTGAGGAAACTGAAGAAAAAATTCAAGCCTGACTTGAAATATTTAAGAATTCTATGGGCAAATGGAGTCCTGGTGAGGCGCTGTCGGATAAGCACTGAACTTCAAAGGTAGTTTGAACTGCAGGGTCAGCAGTTCGAACTCACCAGCTGCTCCTTGTAAACCCTATATAGGGTTGCTATGTTGGAACAAACTTGACGGCACTTAACAACGATAAGAAAAATACTGAATGATGCAGAAAGCATTAATAAAAAATGGAAGAAATACACAGAGTCTCTGAACTGAAACGAACACTTGTCAGTACAGAGACTCTGTATTCCTTCCGTTTTTTATTGATGGTCAATGTTCAATCGTTTCAAGAGGTAGCATCTGGTCAAGACACAATGACACTGAAGGAAGAATTCCAAGGTGTCTTGAAGGTATTGGCAAGGAGCAAGATTCTGGGAATTGATGGAATACAAATTGAAATCATTCAACAAACTGATGTGGCACTGAAGGCACTCATTCATCTAGGCCAAGAAATGTGGAAGACAATTACCTGGCCAACTTATTCGAAAAAATCCCTATGTGTGCCCATTTCAAAGAGAGATGACCTAAATGAATGGGGAATTATCAGACAATATCATTAATATAGCGTGCAAATAAAATTTTGCTAAAGATAATTTTTTAAAATGGCTGCAATAGTCCAACGACAGACAAATGCCAGAAGTTCAAGCTCAATTCAGAGGAGGACAAGGAATGAGGGATAGTATTGCTAATGTCACATGGATCTTGGCTGAAAGCAGAGAATACTAGAAATATGTTTTTTTTGTTGTTGTTGTGAAGTGCCGTCGAGTCTGCTTTATTGACTATGTAAAGGCTTCTGACTGTGTGGACAACAACATTGCAGAGAATGAGTATTCTTGAACACTATAACTATGTTCAAGAGGAAACTGTACATAGACCAAGAAGGCAGTTGTTGAAAAAGAACAAGGGAACACTGAATGGTTTAAAAGTAGGAAAGATAACCTGCCTGGAGCGACTAGAGGAACAGAAGATACTTCTTGAAACAAAAATGGCAGATAGTCTGACCATTACAAGAACAAGCAAGCGTTCACCTGGGAGCCATCAAGGCAAACAATCAATTCCTTTCAGGATATACCCCGTCCCAAGACTGAAACTCAAAGGGAATACACGAGCAGGCATGTTAGCTCGCTGGTGACCACGTTGGTCTACTTGTGAGTGGAAGAATGGAAAAGGCAGTAATGAAGACATGGGCTGAGTTCGACTATGTTCCACAGATAGTCTGTCGACCTTGAGATGAGAGAGAAGAAGGGCTGGTTAGTCCGAAGTTTGGGGAGACTTTGGAACTCCTGAGCCCATGGATACTGGCTTAGCCACAGTAAGCTAGAGCTAAGAGTGAAACATCCAGCTGATATGAAATGGGGGGAGACAAGCAAGAATGTCCAAACTTGCAGATACTACGCATTTGACCTAGTTTAGATAGGTTGATGATCAGAATTCTAGAAGAGGAAGATACACAAGTTTGATACAGAAAGCAAATGTAAATTGATACAATTTGATGAACTTGACCTATACTTATGGATGTAGTAGCTCAAAATATCAACCAAGATGGAAGGGGTCTTCACACCAAGGACCAAGCCTATCCCCTTAATACAAAGAGTCAATAGGGATGGGCAACTTAGACGTTGGCTAACTAAAAGCGAGGGGAGAGCTATAAAGACACAAGTGGCTGGCTTACAAGTTTTCAAGAGGGAGTTTAGTTTCAGAGTGTGTGGGGGAAAGTAGAACCCCCACAGAGTAGTTTTCATCTTGTCTAGATGGGTCTGGTGAAAGGAGTTGGGGACAGGATTCTTTTGATTCAATAGCATTGTTAACATGACTAATTGCGATCATCACAACTGTAAAGGTAGAAGTTGTGTAACAAAAAGTGGGAATAGTGAATCTTACATTCCGGGAAGAGAGGAACATAGGACCATCAAAGGAGAACAGCATGAGTGGAATTTGGGATCCTAACCAGAGAAACTGTGACACCAGAGATGGAGGCAGAGTTGATGGATGGCATGGATAGATAAGAGTATCTGAGGTCCCTAGATGCATAGATAGAGAAAGGCTGTGTGCTGGCAGGCAGAAGACTGGCTTCCAAAAAGTGCCCTTTGGTTGTTTAAAAGATTATACATCCCAGTGTGTTTTTGTGTATATTAAAGAAAAAAAAGGGGGGTGTGGGTGGTGAATAGAGGCCAATACTGTTATCCAGTGGTGGATGCATGGAAGGGATTGTAATCTTTGCATTGAAATAAAATACAATAGGATGAATGCAAAACTGATGTTCACCCATGTAAACTTAACTCTTGATTCACAATAAAAGCATTAAAAAAAAAAGTAGGAGAGGTATGCTCCAGGGTTGTATTCTTTCACCATATTTACTCAATCTGTATGGTGAGCAAATTATTCTAGAAACTGGATTGTAAGAAGAATGTAGCATCAGGACTGGAGGAAGACTCAGGAACAACCTGTGATATACAGATGATACAACCTTGCTTGTTGAAAGAAAAGAGGACTTAAAAAGAGGATCAAAAACCACAGCTTTTGGTATGGTGTGCACTGCAATGTAAAGAAAACAAAATTCCCACCACTGGACCAATAAACAACACCGATATAAATGGAGAAAAGCTTGAAGTTGTCAAAGACTTCATATTGCTTGGATCAACCATCAACACTCATGGAAGTAGCAATCAAGAAATCAAATGACAAATTGCATTAGGCAAATCTGCTGCACAAGACCTCTTTAAAGAGTTGAAGAGCAAAAATGTCAAGTTGAGGACTAAGATTCACCTAACCCAAGCCATGGTCTTTTAAATGACCTCATATTCATGTGAAAGTTTGACAATGAATAAAGAAGACAGTAAGAAAATTGATGCATTTGAGTTACGAGGTTAGAGGAGAATATTAAAAAAGTACCATGCACTGCCAAAAGAACAAACAAATCTGTGTTTGATGAAATAAAGCCAAAATGCTCCTTAGAAGCCAGGGTGGCCAGACTTCACCTCTCATACTTCGGACATATTATCAGGAGGGACTAGCGCCTCAAGAAGAACACCATGCCTAATAAAGTGGAGGGTCAGAGACAAAGAGGAAGACACTCAATGAGGTGGACTGACACAGTGGCAGCATCGATGGGCTCAAGCTTAGCAACAACTGTGAGGTTGGCACAGGACTGGGCAGTGTTTTGTTCTATTGTTCATAGGTTTGCTATAAGTCAGTACTGACTGGATGGCACCTAACAACAACAACAACAATGTATGTTGAAAGCAATAAATATATGTCATAAAGGTTTCTTTATTTCAGACAAAAATCTCTCTGACATTTTATGACTTTTTCCTATTTTCAAAATACATAAAAGTTAAAAAATTAGCAGCTAACCTCAGCCAAAAATCAAATTACTCCAGAATCAAAATTATGTGGAGACATTACTGTTTTGATCATTAACCAAAAAATAGCTACACAATTACATTTCATTCGTTCTATTTAATGAAAAAGAACTCTTTTACTTCTATCCCTATACCCTGAAAGTAAGATGGCAAATTATGCTCAGGAAAAGAGACCCCTCAGACATTCATTCTGTGGCTGAGTCAGTACTTTAATTTCAAGTTTACATACGAGTTGCATAATGAAAGACAATGGAGAACAAAGACCTGTTCTGTCTCTTTAATTAAAATAGCTCTCAGAAAGTTAACCTTACAGTAAAAGGCTATTTGACATTTTCTGTTTTGTATTTTTTTTTGTGGGGGGGATTAGAGTGGAGGGCATTTTGTTAAGATGGAATGATTCACTGATTGTGAGGGTTGGAATTGTAAAGGTAGACATTTTTATAGCAAGGAAGGGAGTAATTAACTTTTCAGTCTAGGTGTGGAGGTCCCTGGGACCATCAAGGAAGAAGAGCAGAGAGTGGGACCCTACCCAGAGAAGCAGTGATGCCTGATATGGAGGCAGAGATGATGACGTGACGAGATGGAGCAGCTGGGGACTTTAGACACAGAGAGGGAGAGGGGCTGTGTGCTGATGACCAGGGGGGCAGTTTGCAGGGTATACCCTTTGGTTGGTTGATTATGCATGGAGGGGATTGTAACCATGGCAATGAAATGATATATGATAGGATGAATGTAAAACTAATGTTCTCCCATGTAAACTATCACATAATTCACAATAAAACATTAAAAAAAAAAAAATGCTTTTCCCTTTGGTCATCCCTTGAAGGGTGGGCCCAGCACACTGGGGATACTCACCATGATGTCCCCTTTCAGAAGCTGCGCAGGTTCGATGGTGATACAGACTCTGTTCTGGTTTTCCGGACTGATGTTGCTTTGAGATAAGCAAGAAGGTACGTTAATGTGCAAGTGTACAACAAGAAGGTAATGGAAGAAAAGATTTTTTTTTAGAATAGCAACACAACAATGGAAAACTCAGCATTTGCACAGCATATTCGGACTCCCTCAATAATCCAACATCTGAGAGCCTAGCCTCGTCTATGAAAATGAGTGGGAGAAAGGGCCCAAAGTGACCAGGTCAGGAAGGAAAGAGCCAGCATTCCCCGTGAAGGGCAGTGATCTCCAGGGATCTGACCAACGCAGCCCTGAGTTGTGGAACATGCAGACTTCTGCATCTGGGGTAAGAAGTCCTAAGGGCAACTGCCAATGGATCATCTACATTTGAAGAGTCCAGAGCAAGTCCAGAAAATGGAAACAGGCCATCTAAGTGCTGGTGCTATGGAGAGAAGATTTTTTTATCTTTCATCCCATAGAGTGCTTTTTCAGAAGCAAACAACAAACAAAAAGTCCAGAAGTCTCTACACATGTTGAATATCTGTGAGCACCCATTGTCTAAAATCTAGAGAAACAACGCAACTAGGCCTTGGCATGAGACTCTTTCCAATGTTCACTCCCCAATAGCAAATGATCTTTTCTTTCTTGAAAAGCCAGCACTCGCGCACCTTTGACTGTCTAGAGCAGGGTGGGGAACATCTGGCCTGTAGTCCGTATAACTGAGAAATCACTTGGTCTGACCCTGCCAAGGCACCTGCAGTTCCAGCCATCACATTAGGGGTGACTTAGGTAAATGTTTGACCAAATATAGCAGGCTAATTATTACGTTGATAATTTTGTATGGTGAATGATATATTTTGGAAGAAAATGGTTCCAGCCCTGGTTTAGAAGGACAGAGACAAGACACCATTTGTCTGAGATGGTAAGGGGGAGTGGTGGGCAGGCTCTCTCTCTGCTTCCATCTGTGCTCTCTGCCAGCTCGGACTCTCTGCCCCTCTCTCCCTGTGGAAAAGCCACCCCATGGCTCCCCAGCTGTGAAAATACACTTACTATATCCCCGACGTGTACAAGGGCTGCATGGCTTGATAGAGCTTCAGAAAGGGCCGGCACACTGAAAGAGAAGTCAGTCAGCCATCAGATACCTTCAGTGTTGGCAGTGTCCAGCAGTAAGGCACACGCAGGAGTGTGGCAAGCAGAGAGGAGAGACATTCCTAGTCAAGGAGCACACACTTACCAACCCAGAGGTTGGACAGAGTGGACCTAACCTCAGCCTGTTCCCTAAGGCCCTGGGAATCATTGATTGTCAGCTCAGGCTGTATGAGAATCAGCGGGTACTTCAGCAAGGCCACTCCGACCAGGATGGGCAGGAGTGACATGGGACAGAGGGGAGATGGGTTTCCTGACCCCGGGCTGCATCTCTATGCTCGCCTGTCAGATCAGTTTAGAAGGGGCAGTGGGAGATGAGGTATCTGAGGTGACTTAGGAGAAGAGTCATCTAGACAACTGGGCAGGTTCTGGACTCCCCCATGCTGGGCTCTTCTCAGAAACCACAGGCGCTGTTGGCCCAGGATGACACTACAGGTGTCCAGGTCGGAGAGGACACTCTAACCCACCTCGCTAGATGCCTATCGTCTGATGCACAAGTCTGCCTCATCAAACCAAGACAATGTTCTGCCCACACAGTGGTTGGTGGTCAATGGTGAAGTACTATAGCCACTGAAGAACCTTCCCAGTTCTGAAGAAAGGAGAAGGGAGGCTTGCTTCAACCAGTCAGCAAAGCCAGGCACCAATGCCACGTGCCACCACTCACCTCCACCTGTGTCAAAGTTGGGGATACCGTGCAGGATGACGCAATGCAGGAACAGCGGGGAGGCATTCATTTTCACTGAGCCAGACAGGAGACCACTGAGGAACTGCACGTACCTGCAAACAGCCGTAAGTTTAGAGTTTCCAAGTGGCACTTCTGCCTCGACCCCAAGTGTAAGTGAGGATGGGTGGACGGTAATGAAGACATGTACACACACAGCCTGCTGCCCTAGGAGTTTGGGGAGAGGACACCATCCCAACCGGCAAGTCCTCAGCCCTCTCTGGTCACTTTTGTTACAGAACCACAGGCTCTAAAACCAAAATCACACACAGCTCTGGGGCTTTCCACACAGAATAGACCTTTACTGAATACCTACTATGTGCCTCGTACCAGGGATCCCGAACCATACCGTGGACTCCTGCCTGGGGTGGTCCATGCTAGACCCCCCTCAGGTTTACCTGAGGCTATGTAGTCCCAGGTGCAGAGGCCCCTACATCGTCCCATACACCGCCATGTCCACAGAAGACAGCTCAATCTTCTGGTCCATCTGTTCTACCTCCATCACGTGTGCTCTCCCGTAAATGCAAGACCCTCCTCATTCCCACCGTGAAACCTCTGGGCAGTCACAGTTTTCATGTCCTCTGCTGCTGATCAAAGCATTGGAAGTTCAGGTCCACCCAGAAATAGCTCAGAAGACAAACCCTGCCAATCTACGTCTGAAAACATCCACTGAAAACTCTGTGGAGCACTAGTTCTACTTTGACATGCACAGCATCAGAGGTAGGTATGTGCTTTTTGTAAATGGATTCCTGTCATATACTGAAGCCTGCCTCTGCTTCAATCTGTCGCCACATCTGATTGGTCAAATGATACAAAACCCTAGCTTCTAAAAGCCTTCACTGTGTCTATCTGTATCTTCTCCCTAGCTGCTCCTGTTTTCTTCACAGCTCCATCTTCCACACTGCCTAAACCAACATCTGCTATCTTCCTAGAAGACATGACTTCTTCTACTTCCTCTTTTCTGATCAAGTACATGAATTAAATATTGTGCATGTGCATCGGCCCTGATTTCAGGCATGCTTTATGTGCAGGTGGTGACTGAGAGACAAGTTTCCACAGCAGAAGGGTTGTGTCTTCATGGTACCAGACAGACAGACGTGATAATAAGTAAATGGAGATGTGATCTACACTACTGTCATGGTCTCACCTTGACCAGTCCCTCTACTTGGAGGACCTCTGTTCTGCCTCAAACCCCATCTGCCATGCATGTGATTGCCACGTGGCAGCTTCTGGCCTCCAGCTCCTCTTCCTATGGCTCCCCATCCCCCTTCTGGGCTCTGCATGCACCTCCACCTTAGCACTCAACACCCGGCACTCATCGATGTGCTCCAAAGTTCTGTAGTCTGTGCAAATTGTTGTTGTGGTTAGGTACCAGCGAGTTGGTTCTGACTCTTAGCGATACTGTAAAAGGTTCCCCAGGAGCAGCTGATGAGCTTGAACTGCGTTTCAGTTTAAATTGACCTTGCGGTCCGGTGGTTACCTTATAGTGCTACATCGATCTACAAGGGAAAGGACAAAAAATCCACACCAAAACACCTCCAGTCTCATCATCTATGGATGCATGCCTCTAATGTCTACAGCAGACTCGAAAACGAGAGGTTGTTCGTGAACACTGCCAGAGACTCCAACAAGAGCGTTGGCAGCACAGCCGGTTCGCATCTCCTAGCCACCCAGGCCCAGCCCACTGCCCCTCTGAGCCAACAACAACCCCTTCGGAGAGGCCAGAATTGGGCACTAAGCTTAATCTTAACTACATATGTTGTTGTTGTGAAGTGCCGTCGAGTCAATTCCAACCCATAGCGACCCTTTATAGGGGTTCCAAGGAGCAGCTCGTGAGCTTGAACCACCAACTTTGCAGTTCAAATGACTCTGCAGTCTGATGCATTAGCCCACAGCGCCACACCAGGACTCCAATATATATGCTGTTGTTGTTGTTATGTGCCGTGGAGTCGGTTCCGACTCATAGCGACCCTATACAGGGTTTCTGAGGCTGTAAATCTTTATGGAAGCAGAGGGCCTCATCGTTCTCCCGTGGAACAGCTGGTAGTTTCGAACTGCTGACCTTGAGGTTCGCAGCCCGATTCGTAACCACCACACTACCAGAGCCTCACTTTCCTGGTGGCAAACTGTTTATCTCTGGTCCAGGACAGCATGAAACCTCACAACGGTGCTCTGAAACTTCACGGGGTGCATGATTAGGGTCTGAAAGCCCAGATGCCTGGGGTTTGAGAGGGATGGGCCGTGGCTCACCACCAGAGGGCACCCATGCCCCTTGTCTGGCATTGTCTTGACACAGTTCCTTTATAACTTCTATTGGACTTTGAAATAGAACTGTAAGAACCACTTAATAATTTTTATCTCCGGATTTTTATCAGAACTGTCACAATGGCTGAGCATTCTGCTGCTAACTGAAAGGCTTCCCAAAGCTCTGGCTATCTGCTCTTCTCGAGATTCCAGTCTCAGAAACCCAAGTAGGCAGTTCTACTCTGTCCTATAGGGCGGCTATGAATTGAAATCGATAGAAAGACACACAACAAAAACATAATTTTACCTACTGCATATGTCACGGGTTTCAGCAAAGGTAAAGGGCTCATTGACTATATTATTTTTATGGGATTTTTTTGTTCTGTTTTAACACAGACATATGAATGATTCACCTCTCTGTGCAGTATTTTCCTGCCTTCTAGTCACGGGAACATGTTTTACCCCATCAGCACCTGTGATTGCTTAGGCGAATCCCACAGAGGTGACTACTCCAGGCACGATGATTCTCCTGATCCCGCTGCACACTCCCTGGACCCAAGGAGCACACAGACCCCCCAGGACCTAAGGGGAAGGACTCTGGTGGATGGTGGACTTGAGATGCTTCCCATTAGCAAGACAACTGAAGGAGTTCATGTGTCTCCTCCACAGAACGTTACATGACTGAATTTTCAGGTGGCAGTACCTCTGTATGCCTGAGTGGTGTAGGGCATATGGTTCAGAGAAGCTGCCAGGCCAGATTGAAGGTGCCTGACTCTGAGGCATGGTCAACCTTCTCTATCTCCGCCTCTGCATACGGGGGTGGGTGGGGAGAGTCTCTAGCCCACAAAGTGCTGTAAACTTGGCTCACAAGATACAGCAGCACTCTTGTAAGAAAGACCGGACATCCTCTTCCGCACCATCTTCCCTTGCCTTACAGTCCTAGGGCCCTTTGAGGCATCCATGGAATCATGTTAAGAATTACTGAAATACCAAAGATACTACAATGTTAGGATCATTGCTAGCTACTGGAAAAATCAAGGAAATTCTCATTTCTGCATGCCAATAAGTTTTTCTTTATTTTTCCAGCACCTCAAAGGGACACGCATGAATACACACAGAGGACATGTTATGATGGCCTTCCATAACCCCACCTGGACTTTCTAGAGGTCACTCTTACAATTCACCTTCACATGGTGGTACTGGTGCTGCTGGTGGTACTGGTATGGCATCGAGATGGTTCTGACTCATAATGACCCTCTATAGGGTTTCAGAGGCTATAAATCTTTATGGAGGCAGAAAGCGCCATCTTTCTCCTGTGGAGCCTCTGGTGGAATTGAACTGCTGACCTTGCAGCTAGTAACCCAACACATAACCTACTACACTATCTGGGCTCCTTAAGTGTCAGTTATCCCCTAAAGTTACTAGTGTCTAGTCATTCTCCTCCGTTAGACACAAAGTGAAGGGAGCCACACACAGGTGCCACTCTGCCAATTCTTTCTTCTCAAGAAAGGAAAAAGAAAAAGAAAGGAAGAATGTCAGTAAGTTTAATAATTTAATGGATCACTTCAATCATATAGAAAACAAACTAAGCCTCTATCAGGGCCTCCAAGTTCACCTTTGACACGCATGCACAGAAGGCCAGGATTTTACCACCGAGCCACCAACGTCCCCAACCTGGACAACAAGATGACGTGGCTACCTAATACGCAGCCACCACCATCTTTCAGTGGAGGATGCTGTGACACTGAACAGGCTTCGGTGCAACTTTCAGACTCACACAGACTAGGAAGAAAGGTCTGGCAATCTACTTCTAAACATTTCTGAAAATCAGCAAATAAAAGTCTGTGGATCACGGCAGCCTAATCCCATTGTTAGGGGCCAACTGTACAGTAGCCAACAAGAGCAACAGGAGTCCAATACCAGGGTTTTGACAAAATGGTTCTCACAGTAACCCTTTATTTACTAAAGGCTAGAGGTACAAAAAGAGTCTGTTCCCAGCCACAGTTCGTTCCGCTGCTGGAAACAAGGAACGTGATGGAACATTCCTGACAAGTTTCCTGTGGATTGATGGCTTTCACATGGCACGGGCTGAGTAACTAAATGAGTAACTAAATGGTTAGCGATGAAGCTAAACCAAATCTTCATGAAGTTGATATTCATTAAGGCTCTACAGAAGCTCGGTTATTTCCCTGTGGGTACTGCTGGGGAAATCATTGCTGAATTTACAAGAAGCTAAGGTGTGGCGCTGTGGATTAACGCACCAGACTACAAAGTCATTTGAACTGCAAGGTCGGCGGTTCAAGCTCACCAGCTGCTCCTCGGAAACTCTATACAAGGTCGCTGTGGGTCGGAATCCATTTGACGGCACTTCACAACAACAACAGCAACCTACGCTTCTTGGAGTTACAAATGTTAAGCTAATGAATTCACTCCTCTTATTATTAGGCTATTATTACATTATTAATCAGAAGACCCTGCCCCTGATCTCTCTATTTCTCTGGCCTGCCTCCCTGACACAGACCTGCTTTCCACCCACATTGACACTTGAGTGCACAAGAGGATACATGGCAGGGATCAAAATTCATGTGTCTCATTTTGGTAAATGTCTTGGCAATTCTTATTTTACAAAGTTTGGGAAAGAAAAAGAACGTAGCTGTATCCTTGCTGTATTAAGTTACCATCCTCAGAAGGCGTGGGTCTGTCTCACTACCTCTCAACACTGACCTTCCTCAAGCTCTGATTCTTCACCTCAGCCTATGGGGCAGACAGAAACAACAACAACAACAACAACAACAAAATGGCCTGCTCCCCATGGCCACTTCCCAACATTTCCCAAGCATCTTCCATGGACCAAGTGCAACAGGAGCAGTAAAAATGGCAAGAATTCCAATCCCAAACCAACTGAACAAACAGTACTGTACTGGCCTCGGGGGCCTAGCTGTGTAGCACATGGGTCAGCAAACCATGGCCTGTGGGTCAAGCCTGCCCATATAGTTACGTTAAAAGTTCTATCGGAACATTGTGTACATTCTTTGACATATTATCAATGGTTCCCTTCTCGTTAGACCGGCAGGGTTGAGTAGTTGTAACAGAAACTTGATGGTCTGCTAAGGCTAAAATGTTTACTATCTAGTATCACACAGCTGGCTAGAAACACGTTCCAGAAGAACAATGGAAATAAAGACTTGCCACAGGACTGGAAACCCCAAATTTCTGAGACTGTGGAGAAGGAAAGCAATACTTTATCTCTCTGGAATGAGCAAGTGACAGAGATGGCTTCTACCAGCGCACAATTTGTCACCATTTGATTTCTGCTTTTACCATGAAAAGGTCCCTCTCTCAGATTCATCCACAGGACCTGGGCCAGCCCTTCACAGTGGAGGCCAGAGAGAATCTCTTCAGTCTCTCATGGGGAAGAGTGTCATTTGGTATTCTTTAAGCAAAAACTCTCATATTTTCACTCAGGAAGGGGGGTTACGGGCTGGGCTGGGGTGGGTAAGAGACGTGGTGGATAGTAGATACGTACCGTTTTTGGGATGGTTGCATTAAAGCAGATACTTTATCATCGTAAAATTTCTTCATTGCAAATCGATCGAGGGCTTGGTCGGCACTGAGGAAGCAGAGAGAGACAGAGAGTATTAACTCAGTTGTGTTCCAGAGACATGGCCTGGTGAAATGTGGCCGGTGTTCTGACTACATACACAGAGTGAGCGCTACCACAAGGGGACCCACTCTTTTGTTACACCTTGTGGATAGGGGACCCAC